CTTTCCAGGGTTATTGTTCCAGGAAGTCTTCAAACCTGGGCAGAACTGCAGTGGCTTACACACCAGCTCACCCTTCCAAGTTCTCTTTACAGTTCTTCAGAACAGAAAAGGTCTGTATAGCTGCTACAGAAATATCACACGGAGGCTCTGGAGCTATTTTAGGAAGCAAATTTATTGCAGGTAGACAGCTTACTAAGCTGGTCTGTTCTACTTTACACTGCCTTCTGTGGAGCTGCCTGGCCCAGTGGCAAAATGGGGAAGGGTCTGCATGCAGAGTCTGTAGGGCTGGTGTGGGGCCCCAAGCCATGGGTGAGAAGCTGCGGGTCGATAGGAATGCTGTGCCTGGCACACATGAGGCTCTGAGCAGCTGCTTGAGAGAGATAGTGTTTCCTGGGCCTCATAAGAGACATTCGCCCCATTGCTGCTCCTCCCCTCTGTGCTTTGGCCCATCAGGCCCACAGAATAAAGAAGTCCACAGCACTGAGCTTTCTTCCCAGTGCTGGCACTGCCCACCGCTTCATTCAGACCCTTTCAGGGAAGAAGAAATAATTCATCAAAGTGTGATACTGAGGAGAATAAAATCTGTGTCTTTTGGGTGAGAAAACATCCTCTGCTATGTGACCGGGTCAGATCTTCACCCAGCCTCACTGCTCCAAAAAGGCAGGGCTTAGCATCTCTGTGTCTCTGATGGTTTCCCTACCCAGTACTGACTATATAGTTCCTGCTTTGAGAGCCCTGTCTTTTTCCAAGCCAAATAAATGGCAATTTGAAAACTAAATGGTATGTTTTAAATGGGAAGGGCTACTTTTCCCGACTGTGGAGAGGGAGATGTTTATGTGGGAAAAGGCTTTTTTAGAAGCAGTGATATTATATTCCAGAGATGACAGATGGTTTAAAATCTGTATTGTGAGTTAACCTAGAGATTTATGGTAGGCTCATGATACAAAAAGAAACAGAGATATACAACCTAACCAAACTAATTTCTAGGCTAAAAACAGGTATAAAAAATGATTGCTTACCAACAAAACAGCCCTGCATTATTTTTATAAGAACCCACAAAGATCAGGGTGCGTTATTTTGGAGCTGTTTTAACTGATGCTACATGAATCAGCTTTTAGGAAGTGTAAGCAGGTAGAGGAATCCCAATTAAAAGCATAACCTTACACTCTGTGCATCCTAAAACTCAGTTTGGGTCATGGAAGACTTTCACCATCAAACCATTAAGTGCTAACACTGTCTGAAGAGATGGTGAGAAACACAAAAGCTCCTGTTTGTCTATTCCCCAATGCAAGACAGCTTTAGACTTCTAGTGTTGCACTCATGGGACAGTAAACAGGAATACAAAATTAAATTAAACTATAACTCACTCAAATCAATTGTAATATGGGATCTCCTTAGAGGAATGTTACTTCAGCTTCCTAGGGACAGAATATTACCAGAGTGCTTAACTAAGTGTAAGGAATATTTCAACTCACTGATAAAATTTAAAAACCAAAGCAAAATACTTCTTTGACTGAAATATTCAGCTAAGCCATCAAGAATGTTAACTGCCCGTGGAATCAATGTCACTCCTGGGTTACCAACAGTTCAATCCACTGGCACAAGTCGAGCAGTCCCAAGGCTGCTCTGAGTAGCACAGGGTCTCAGAAATCTCCAAAACCTCTTGGAAGAGGACTGAAACCCATTAGGTCTCCACACTAGCCAAGGAGAGCAGTTTGATAAAGGAACAGGTGTCAGGTACAGTCATGGGCAGGGTGGTGCAAAACAGCCTGCAGAGAAAATCTTACTGCTGTTTGGACATTTCTACAAATATGCTTAACAATAAACAGCATAATTTCTTCCATCAATAACTGACCTTAACTTCTTGCATCTCTAAGGACTTCACAACTTTAACCTGAAAAACTAGAAGACCAACCATTTGGAGGGACCAGCTACATGAAAAACACATGGAACCCAACTCAAACTGTCTTCCAGAGCTGGTTATTTTACTCCTAGTTAAGTGAAAAAAAACAAGTAAACAAACAAAACCTATCCCACCTTTAAAACTCAACATTTCATTTTGATAACACATTTCAAAGGATTTCAATGTGAAAATTATATAGCTTACATTAAAAGCTTAAATAGCTTATATTCAAATTCATATTAGTGACTTTAGGATCAAAGTCAATTGCATTTCCATTGATTTCTGATTATTTTTATTTAATTTTTCTCTATTTTAAAGACAGTGAGACCCACTTGAAATGATACAGAAAGCTCATGTCACAGACATGAACAGTACCCAGTTTTCAACTCCAGTTTTAAAGCAAGAGTGTAGGAAAACTAAGGCAAGATGACTCTACAGGTAATTTCAGAATATTCAGACCATCCTGGTGCTTTGGTTAGTAGAGGTATCAGAACTCCACATGCTATATATAACAGCTGCAAC